AGGTGTATCTGGGAAAGTTTTTGAGATTATCAAATCATTACTTTCTGACTGCTTTATTAAAGTTATCTTTGAAGGCCAACACTCATCTTTATTTTCAGTAACTTCTGGGGTACCTCAAGGTTTTATTCTTGGTCCTATTTTATTTCTTATCTACATTAATGACCTCCCTGATAGACTTACATCTGAAGCAGCTCTATTTACTGATGACTCAATTTTATACTCCTATCTTGACAAAAAGTCTTCTCTTTTTGGTTGCTTAATTGCTTTGGTTGCATTCAGTCTTGAATCTGATCTCACTTTTGTAATAGATTAGAGCTTGTGGTGACTTTGTGGAATTTGGCAAAACCTTGGTTGTTTACTGTAAACAAATACTGCAATACTGTGGACATTCCTATATTGATGTTGAATTCCTATATTGATGAAGCAATCCTCTTAATGAGATCTTTTTATGTCTCTTTGAGTTATCGCTCATTACTGATCGCTTATGGAAACCATATATACAATCCATTGCTAAGCTAGCATCTCTTTATTGTGCTCTGGAATATTATAGTCATATTTGGGCTGGCTCTTCTAATCATGCTCTTTCTTTTATAGACAAGGTTCAAAAAATACTCTGTAAATGTAGTTGGACCTGTAGTCGGACCTGTAGTTGGACCTGTAGTTGGACCTGTTCTATCTGTCAAGCTTGAACCTCTCTCCCATTATTGTCTATGTATCTTTTTCTCTCTTCCACAATTACTATCATGGTTACTACTCAAAGGAGCTATCATTTCTAGTTATATCAACCAAAACTCCTTCTCACTTGACTTGTCATTCACCAAAGTTTCATTCTTTTATTATACCTGTCCCCTACATGCTCTAAAAACTTTATTTGTCAAGTTTTTTTTCCCAGTACTTTAATCCTATGGAACTCTCTTCCATCTTCATGTTTTCCTGACTCATATAACCTACAACTTTTCAAGTCTTCTGTCAACTTCTTTCTTGTTCTTTAACTCTATTATTTGTTTTCTAAGAACTCCCAACTTAATAGTGGTTGCTTGTAGCATTGTTAAAATTGAATCAGAATAAAAAAAAATTAATAATAATAACCTATTGCTTTTCAATCCTAGGTGATTCACATAATTAAGTATTAGCATCCTAGATGCTACTTCATAGTTCATATTTCATAGGTTGATGTACGCAGCCAATTATCTTATCATTACTTATTTGTATTATTTTCTTTAATTGTTCAACCACTCAGTTTTTTAGTTGTTTACTTTAAATACATTGAAACATTTGTATGCAGACAATTAACACCACACAGTGGGCCCAAAATGCAAAAATATTGAAATGGAAATGCAATGGTTGTATAAAACCTAATGAGAATAAAAGTAAAAATATTTTTTTGATATAGGAAAATTTTTTTTAATATTCATATAATTTTGTAGTTTCTTTTGTGGACTAACTACATCTTTAGGCATTTTTGACAAATTAGTGTTGGTAAATTATATTTTTGACAAATTAGTGTTGGTAAATATTATAATTTTTAGAAGACAGCTAAAATAGTAATTTATTATATTTACTTAAAAAATAAAATTTTCAAAGTAAACTTTATTTGGGGTTTGGTTCCTAATATTTATTGATTAGAAATTTTGTACTCAAAAATATGTGCTTGATCAAATTTGTATTTTAAATAATGTTATAAATATGCTGAAAATATTAAGAAAAGTTTTCAAAAAGTTTGATTTGTCAATGATAAGTAAAAACAGTAAAAAATGTAAACAAATTTATGATCAATCATGAATGAGGTTTTCAAATCCTATATCATTAAAATATCTATATATTTTTTGAAAATATACACTCATAAGTATTCTTATTTGAACCACAATCATGACATAACTTAGAAAAACATGAATGAATAGTTCGATTTAAGACATTAGAATCAGATCTCTTACAAGACATCACAATACATCTGTAAGCTGTTCTCTAAATAATGTTTTATGAGAGAGAAACTTTGAATAGTTTTGCATGTCTTTGTTGTTTGCATCAAGATCAAATAAGTTGCCAAGGCCTTTGTTGTTTGCATCAAGATCAAATAAGTTTGCAAAGAGTCCTTTACAACTCAGATAAATTATCTTTTTAATAAAAGATAATTTATCTGAGTTGTAAAGGACTCTTTGCAAAGTGCGGTTAATTTACACCCATGGCATAATATTATTAATTATTAATAATTTGTAATAATATTAAGTGTAACATAACGTAACTCTTGATAATTGTCAGTTATAATTTTATGTTGACAAGAAGCTATGCAAAATATTAAACTGATTTGAGAATGAACACTATCTTTGTGGATATGAGTGTATAGATCTTTTATGGTTGAAATTATTTCTTTAGAAAAAAATCTATGACATTGTGATTTGGTTGTAGATGTCCCATAAAATGCCTTTTTTAATAGAAAAATTAAAAAAGGTTGTTAAAATTTTTTTTCAGATTACACAAACATTAAATTGGTTGGTTCGAATGTCAAGTGAACTTGAAACTAATATTGTTTCTGTAGAGAGAGTAAAGGAATACATTGACCTTCCTAGTGAGGTAATACTTTTTGTTTAAATATATTTTTTTTATTGACATTATATAGTTTTTATATCTTTATAAAATTTATACATAAATCTTTTTTTTATACCTATATGTTTATATTTTTTATATATTTATTTGTTATACTATGAAGTTTTTCTTATGGGTTTGTAATTTAGTTCTAAATGATTCTATACCAAAGTATTGCAAGTTTAAACTTATTTTTTTAAATAAATATTTGCATCATAAAGTTTGTTATGTAAAATAAATTATTTATTTTGAATCGTTATTTTATTTTTGTTATTAAAATAAAACATAATAATAGTGCATTCAGTATAAAATAAATAATATAATAATACAGTACAATACTGTAATATAATAAAATAGATAATAGTAAAACATTAATGAGAAACATTTTTTCGTTTTGTTTTCTTCAGAATTTCTTTTGTATAATCTTTGTTTATGAATTTAATGAATTTTCAAAGTAATTATTTAAATTTATTTAAATAATTTTAAATATTTATAAACTAATTATTTATATTTATTCTAATTATTTACATTTTAAAAGTTTTAATGAAGCAAACAACCATGCTTTTTTCAGCCACCAATGTAGATTTCAAAAGCAAAAAACAATAATAAAAAAAAGTCAGCATTTTATAACTCATTATTGACCAATTTTAAAACCTAAATATTTTTATATAATTCTCATAAATAATCATAATTTAATACTTTTTATTTAAGTTTAATTTAATTTAGTTAAATATTTAATGTAAGTTGTTGTTGTTTTTAATTAATCAAAAATCCACAAAGAAATATGAAATTTCTTTAGCAAGTTCTGTCAAAGAGAATAAGCAATACTAATAAAGAAAAGGTAACATATGTTTAAAAAGAACAAATATATAATGAGAAAAAACATGCACAAATTGTAATCAACAATAGTGTCATTGTGAAAGTATAGCTTAAAAAGGTGCTAAACTATAAAAAAATTTGATTTCAAAATAAAGTATAAAAAAAGTAGCAATAATAAAAATCAGCTGAAATAAAAACTAATAATCTAACAGATTAAATATAATAATTAAAAAATTGAAAATTAATAATTTTTTTTCTTTAAATAAGAAATAATTTTTGATTAAATTTGTGAAAATTATTATATTTGAATTAAAATTATAATTAATAAAATGTATTAAATATTATATATAAAGTACTATACATAAAATATATTTGAATTGAGAAAATAAACAATTATAAATAGGTATTATATAAATTTTATTTATTTTAGGCAGCTGCAGTTATTCATGATAGTCGACCTCAGAATGATTGGCCAAGTGCTGGTGCCATCATGTTTCAAAATTTTTGTTTAAGATATCGTAAAGATTTAGATCTGGTTTTAAAGAATATAACATTTAATGTGGAGCCTTCATCAAAAGTAAGTTTTCTATTCTTTATCTTTATAAATATCTTATTTGTTCTTATACTGTATACTGTTGTCATATCTAGGCTGGGTCTTTTTCTATTGTCATATTGAGCTCTTCTAGATTTTGTGCAATAATACATTGAAAATAAAGTTGGGTGTAGCCTAGCAACCAAAATCTCTATGCCAAAAGTCTCATACTCTTCCTTATTTATGGAGGTATTACCATATTAGCAAAAATGACATTTGACTTTAAATTACTGACATTGGACCTCTAGTCCAATATCAGTAATTTGAGTGCAGAAAACACCTGCTACCTACCTACCTGCTCAATGCAAACCTCAATCATCAGAGGTACAGTGAAACTATTCTTAACAAACTTCAAATATTTGTAATGCTCATAACAGCTTATTTAGAAATGCTTAACCATCATAAGGTCTTAAAGTCAAAATTATTTTTGAATGTAAAGTACTCTTTTAATGCCATGGCAACATTAAGACCTACAATAAAATCATTTTTCAATCATTTTTTTTTTAACTCGGTTTCAAAAATGTTTTTTTGAAATTTTTTTTTTAATTAAATATTTTCGAAATTATTTTTAAAAAACTCAAAAAATAAAAAATTGGAAATTTAAAGTTGTTACTTAAAATTTTTTTTTTGTCTAAAATTTTTTAATATTATAAATTATTTTTTGAGAGCAATTGCTGGCAGTTTTAGCTCTATTAAAAGCTTGTAATTAATCATATTAATTCTGTTTCTTTTTGTTTTGTTGTCCAGATTTTAAAAGACAAGCAAAGTATGTGTAATTAATACAATAAATCTTGATAGATTTTCTGTAAACCTAGATTAAAGAGCAGCAATACAGTATATTTATATAGTATATTTGGATTAATATAAATGAATGATATATAGTATATTTGGATTAATGCAACAAAGCAAAAGAACAAAAGTTCCCTCTTCAGCAAGTTATATTTGTTCAGATCATTTTACTGACAATGAAAATATGATGAAATCAAAACATTTGGATACGATATTA